CCCCAAACTTTCTTACATTTTGAATATTAGAATTTCAATTAACATCAAAATTGATTCAAAATAAATCGTGCAGAGGGAGACTATTGGATAATTCTTGGGTTCGCGTTTCTTTTTTTTCTGATTTCTGCGATATTTTCTTAATTGGTTTTATAAAAGGCATCAATATCCAGAAATTGAAAGGCGAAACAAAAATCCTGAGACTAATGCCTAAAGTTAGGGAACTAACAGAGTCGAGCTTGGTGGTAGCCTAGTCAGGTGAGGTTGGTGGTAGCCTAGTCAGGTGAGGTTGGCGGTAGCCTAGTCAGGTGAGGTTGGCGGTAGCCTAGTCAGGTGAGGTTGGTGGTAGCCTAGTCAGGTGAGGTTGGTGTTTGCCTAGTCAGGTGAGGTTGGTGTTTGCCTAGTCAGGTGAGGTTGGTGGTAGCCTAGTCAGGTGAGGTTGGTGGTAGCCTAGTCAGGTGAGGTTGGTGGTAGCCTAGTCAGGTGAGGTTGGTGTTAGCCTAGTCAGGTGAGGTTGGTGGTAGCCTAGTCAGGTGAGGTTGGTGGTAGCCTAGTCAGGTGAGGTTGGTGGTAGCCTAGTCAGGTGAGGTTGGTGGTAGCTTAGTCAGGTGAGGTTGGTGGTAGCCTAGTCAGGTGAGGTTGGTGGTAGCCTAGTCAGGTGAGGTTGGTGGTAGCCTAGTCAGGTGAGGTTGGTGGTAGCCTAGTCAGGTGAGGTTGGTGGTAGCCTAGTCAGGTGAGGTTGGTGGTAGCCTAGTCAGGTGAGGTTGGTGGTAGCCTAGTCAGGTGAGGTTGGTGGTAGCTGTAATATGAACTTTGTGGATGTTAAAAACATTGAGATACCTCTTTTGAAGTAGGAGGTATAAAAAAGAGGTCTTTTAATATAGATTATATATGCATCCACTTGGGCTGGTCGGTATATCAAGGACCTCGCTTCTTGCAGGGTCCGCGGTCGATTTCCTGTAACAGATTCTTGTCTTAATAGGCCTTTCAAGTTCTATATAGTCATACTGGCTTGATTTTGTGTTACTTATCTTACATTAATACAGAGTGAGAAATGACTAGTTATATGGCACTAAAAAGAAGCAAGACAAGCGGCTTGGAAAAAACTATTGTGGCTAATATAAAAAACTATTTACCCCATTTAGAAATGGGGTAAGAAATCTTGCAGATTGTGAGAGCGAGAACTGCTGTTACTGGAGTCGTCATGGTGGGCCGCGGCGTCAGGCCGGGGGTCTGGAATTAATCCGCTTGCTCTTAGCATCGTCCAGCCAATTAACTCGCCAATTACCCACAACCACAAGAATTTTTTCAGAATTGCCGCATTTTTTTGGCGCGTCCTTCACCTGCTGCCGGCTCTATTGTATATCCTCCCCCCCCCCTCCCCTCCCTTCGCGGGGGATGGCAGGAAGGTGAAGAGTTAAAAAAGTGGGACGGAAAAAGAGGAATGGGTGAAGATTAATTAATAGAACGAGGTGGGAGTCTGATTGACAGAGGGGGGGGGGAAGTTGATTGATAAGAGAGGGGGAGGGAGGCTGTTTGTTCATAGGGGATGTTGTTTAAAGTTGTTTAAGATTCAACTACTATGAACAAAACGTTCCAAGTAGCACGGGCTATGGTGAGCCCGTAGTGGACTTACCCGGCACAGTAGCAGGCCTGTCTTCAGAGGGGAGAAAATAGACAGATTTATATAGAAGGGAATGAGATGTTAATTGACAGATATTACATGAGCAGATATTGATCGATTGATATTAAGTATTGAAACTGATTTCTCTACATGACAGACTAAATGATCCCTAACAGTTTGATAATTCAAAATACCAATGTCCAGGCGTCTACAGGTCTCGCCGCTCTGATAGTTTGTGTTATTAGGGACAAACTACAATACAGCTTCAGATGTAATTCGTAAAATACTTGAAGAAATAATGCTAAAAAACCTTACAAATACATTTTGCTGAGTTTTATTGGTACATTAAGAGGCACTATAAGACACGTGGGAGAGTGGTACTGGTACAGTGCCAGGCACAGTGGTACTGGTACAGTGCCGGGCACAGTGGTACTGGTACAGTGCCGGGCACAGTGGTACTGGTACAGTGCCAGACACAGTGGTACTGGTACAGTGCCGGGCACAGTGGTACTGGTACAGTGCCGGGCACAGTGGTACTGGTACAGTGCCGGGCACAGTGGTACTGGTACAGTGCCGGGCACAGTGGTACTGGTACAGTGCCGGGCACAGTGGTACTGGTACAGTGGTACTGGTACAGTGCCGGGCACAGTGGTACTGGTACAGTGCCGCTGGAGACAAGAGGCAGCGCCCGGCTGTTGTAGCCACTATGTCGAGGGTATAACTTTCACCTTCACTTTGGAATGTGGCTTCTCAGGTTCACTTTTGCCTCTCTTCGCTTTCTTACTGAAGAATGATGATAAGATGCGGTGATTACCTGTGTTGCTCACACACCTGGAAGATGAATTCTGTTAAGTAGACATTATTGGTGTTGCCGTTAATGAGATAAATTGGTGGTGATCATCTCATTCATGCCGGCGTTCCTTGTTCTACCCCCCTCGGGCGCCTTCAACATCATTGGGTTGTTAATTAATGGAGTGGTGGTGATGGAGAGGGAATGTGTAGGTGTTTATCCTGTTAGTAGCCTCTTAACCTTTAATTGGCCGCCAAAGGTGTCTTTTAGACGGGTGGATATTATTATAGTGGAGGTTGCTGCTTGGGTGTTGGGCTCAAGGCTCCAGCACGGGGGAGGCTAGAAAGTGAAGGGACGACGACGTTTCGGTCCGTCCTGGACCATTCTCAAGTCGCTTGTCACAATCGACTTGAGAATGGTCCAGGACGGACCGAAACGTCGTCGTCCCTTCACCTTGTAGTGTGTGGTCTGGTCAACATACTTTAGCCACGTTATTGTGACTCCTCGCCTGCACTCTTGGATGTGTTGTGCACTAGGCTGTGAGTGACGAGGGAAATGCTAGGGTTACATTCTGGGTTGACACGACTGTACCTCACAGGTGATATTGGTATATTGTAGTTTACTTGTGTTATTATATGCTCGAGGCTGCTCCTGTGGGCGGTGGAGGAAAGGCTGGCCATATTACGGCTTCACCAACTGAACCTTGTCTTCTCTAACCTCAGTAATTTACCTTTGTCATAAGTCGACTAGTTCTCGATTCACAGTCAAGGATCCCGGGTTCATTCCTCAGCCGGGACATAAAGGCTAGGCACGTTTATTTTCACCTGCTGCCTCTGTTCACCTATCAGTAAATAGGTACTAGGGAGTTGGGAAATTGTTTTGAGAATGCATCCTGGGGAAGGTCAGTAGTTGGACCTTGTGGGACCTCAATAAAAACCCAAAGTATATATACACGGGCTCCCTGTCCCCGACAACGGAACTAATCTGTATATCCTGCCAGTCGCGGGGGGGAGGGGTTAGAGATGATGAAGTGTACAAATCCACAAGGGCCGTGACGAGGATTCGAACCTGCGTCCGGGAGCATCCCAGACCCTGCCTTAATCGACTGAGCTAAATCACATTAGTGTGATTTCTGTGTGCAATGATGAAGTGTTTTTCCACCTACAGTAGGCACATCTAAGACATTTGGCCAAGATTTGCATTATTTGGACATGTCTTGAATATTAGTGTAAAATTATCTGTAAAATCTTATATTGCCTTTACATTAAATTACTCAGTAATGATGAGTACCCGAATAATTTGATGATACAATAAACATTCTGTTATTGTCGGAGCGATTCAGTTCTTTACATTAAATTGCAGCTCTCAAATTGTAAAAGCAATTTATAATTGTATACTCTGAAGTTAACCTAAATTACGTTGTCACAAGGTGGACACGTCTTAATGGTTCGTGTGTGAGAGCCTAGCATGGTGTGTAAATATTGGTTCCTGTATTCGGAGTGGGTGATTTATCAAGGTGGAGGAGCTGGTTGTTGTGTAGCCTGGTCCCCTGGAGCCCCTTCACTGTGTACAGCCCAGTACTGCCACGGCAGGCCGTCTCTTACACCTCGAAATCCAATTTTTTTTTAAGTTCCCTTTCTTGCTGGGAGCATAAGCGACCACTACTGATGAGGTGTGTGTGCTACGTCAGTTCCCACTTAGGGACCAAATGTGCCTCTACTGAGGGCTTCAGGAAGCTGTTTTATATTCGATAATGCATCTGTTTTATTCTGCGCGAATATTGCATAAGCTGCCAAACAGCCAACTTATTCTCATTTGCGATCAAAAGTTAATAAAATCAGTAATCTTCACCGGGCTGGTTCCGAAGGCAACTTGAACAAATTGGTGGGTGGCCGCGAAAGCCACAAAGGACCATATAGGCATATTATTTGGTCATAAAGCAACTTAGAACGGGATCCGTCAATTACTGGATAAAATCATGTATGAAGATACTGAGGTGTTGCAAGTCTCATTGCAGAGAAGTGGAGGAGTCATCGCATATCTGTGCGCCTGAGTTTAACCAAAGTAAAAACTTGCCAAATGCTGAGACATTGTACGTCCACTTGGAAGTTGGAGCCCGAGGGAATATCTCGCTCCCAAGGTCCAGCCAGGCACCTGCCATCTAACTTAAAACTAATAAATCCATTAGGTTGACGGATACATACTGCATGAGCATTCTCACAGAAGTTTTAATAGTATTAATACACTTGACCCTTACACTGATTGAGGTTTTTACGATGGCAGTTTTTCTGGAAAGAGTAAAACATCGTACACGGCGCATGGCAGAAGTTCGGATAGTCCAGTCACGTCTCCACATTGGATGAACACCATTTGAATACCTTCCATTAGTTTTTCCTCCAGAAGAAATATAGCAAAGATAAGTTATTGAGAAGGTGGTGAGGTTGACTAATGAAGATGACCTCGTTATCCACTACAGTATACATGAAGGGCGCCACAATAAAAGGGTTTTGTTGTGGTGTTGGGTCGTACGTCCGGCAGGAGGGGCGGAGAGTGGAGTGCAGGAGTCGTGCAGCAGGAGGAGGAGGCGGCCCCGCTCCCCCACACACACCAGTCACTCGTTTTCACATTAATATCCAGTGTCCCATGTGCCTCAATTAAGTGTCCTCTGGTGAATTATAATGTGACAGTCCTCTTGTGTGTCCTCAGATGAGGTGGTGATGTGATTTATAGCGGCTGATGAGTTGATAGAGTGCGCGTGTGAGGATAGCACAGGTGATGTGGTGGTGGTGTGGTTGTCTGAGAGAACCATGAAACACCAGGGAATTACACAGGTGTCTACCACACACCACACTCTTGCGGTGCCTACCATGCCACAAGTGCCATGTACGGGACAATTTCAAGGCAAATCCGCTATATCGTCAAACACTGGAGAGGTCAGGTAAGAGTCATTCGCGTGGTATAATTATAACAGCAAAGTGCATCTTGCTTTTAAATCCTGGAATTGATTAGAAATACTAAGTCAGGGTCATTGCCTGGCGTGTAATATTTCCACACATTTGAACAGTTTCCACTGTTATTGTTGAAGATAAGAGAAGGCCTTAGGGTGAGAGCTAGAACCTGTTGTTGTTGTTATAGATTTAGCTACTCTGAACAAGTTCCAAGTAGCACGGACTATGGTGAGCCCGTAAACTTACCTGGCACAGGAGAGGGGCAAATAGGCTGAGCTAGAGGCGGTAGTGTGTGGTAATGTATAGTGTTGGTCTCCACACTCCCACAACACCCAACACTGACAAGCTGATATACTCTACAGTCCTTCCTCTTCACTTATTGACCCACAACATTGAAGGGGAAGTTGTGTGTATAATTACCCGCTCATCAACCTGCCCGTCCTCTCAGCCGTTCACACTAAACTAATGTACTAACCCAGAACCTAACCTAACTGAGGACCTACAACTCGAAAATGGGGACATTACGTCAGTTTAGCGAGCAGCTGTTATTATTAGTACATCAAATTTTGGCCTATGGGTATTTAGCACTAGGCTGACTCCATACATAGTTTCAAAAGTAGATATGATGGAGCTTGAGAAGCTCAGGAATCTGTACACCAGTAGATTGACGGTTAAGAGGCGGGACCAAAGAGCTAAAGCTCAACCCCCGCAAGCACAACTAGGTGAGTAACTCCAAAATCACTTTGGAGGATACATTGGGTTACGAGCTGTATAACCTGCTTGTATTATTAATAAGCAACATGGCCCATGGCATAAAGCCTATTACATAGTAATTAATAGCGCATAAAGCAATCCTTCGTTGTATCATTTATGTCTTGTTATATTGAACTTTTCATAACAGGTAACTTGAACGACACAGATCATTCGTACATTCAGCATTTACCGGCTTATACGCCTCAGCTATGTATAGAATGCGCCTCCCCATTAGACGCACCTCCCCCTTAAGACGTACCTGCACAATTAAACGCCTCTTCCCTTTAGACGTGCCTCCCCCATTACACACATCCTCAATAGACGTACTTCCCTCCCTTTCACGATGATACTTTGTAAAAAAAAAGTGTTAGCATGGCGCCTTTAATTTGGTTATGGACATTTTACATTTCGATAATGATGCTTTTATGGTCATCACCTGATTATGTAACACTTTGGGTGACAGGTGACGCTTCGTGACAGGCGACGCTTCATGACAGGTGACGCTTCATGACAGAAAACACTTTGACAGGTAACCTTTCTCGTAGTCAACACTTTACACAACAGTCAACAGAAGAGACTACAGCTCTCACAATCTCTTGACACAAATACCTCACGAGACTTCACAGATCTCGCTGCTACGTCAAGTTGTTGTATACAGACACGACATAACCAATTTACCGCTAACCTCATCAGTAACTGAGGGATCAATTTTCCTACCAGAGACTGAATATGTGTTTGGCTGACTGTATTACTACAATTAACATATTTTTTTTGGGCTCCAAATAGTTTAGCTTAAGGAATAACTAAATCTCTCCCCCTCCCTACCCGCCTTCGGCAGGCGACAGAGCCTAACCTGCTCTTTTGTTGCTGTTGGTGAATGGAAGTTTTTACTACGGAATGTTGCGCGTCAGTGCTTTTTTTATTATCTGCTGCTATCTGTCAGGCTTGATGCCCAACGCACACTTTTGTATGTAATTGATGAGACACAGACGAGAGGATTTGCCGGTCCAGCAAGTAGGTCGTGGTGTTTGAGGGCTGATGTTGTGTGACTGACCAGTTGGCGGGGTCTGAATGAATTGGCTGAGGGTGGGGGGGGGAGGGTGTTTATGAATTAAACACTTGGTCTTAATTATGGTCTTAACGACTATAGGCCAAGTGGGATCTTAACGAGTTGATAGGCTGTGATCTTAATAAGCCGGGTGTTTTTTTTAACGAATTGATCGGGTGTGGTCCTTACGGATGGGTAAGGTATAATAATAATAATAATTTAAAGATTTAATTAATAATATATATTAAGATAATCTTTAATATATATTAAGATAATCTTTAATATATATTAATTAAGGTAATCTTTAATAATATATATTAAGGTAATCTTTATTAATATATATTAAGATAATCTTTAATAATATATATTAAGGTAATATTTAATAATATATTAATTAATATAATCTTTATATATATAATTAGATTGCTCTAGATAGTTTGTTTTTGTACCTCCACTTACGGGCTCACCATAGCCCGTGCTATTTGGAACATTTTGTTCACAGTAGCCGACTCTAAAACAACAACGATTACTTTATGCAGGCGATGAGTCACAATAACGTGGCTGAAGAATGTTGACCAGACCACACACTAGAAGGTGATTGTGTGGAATCGATTGTCACAATCGAATTGAAAATGGTCCAGGACGGACCGAAACGTCGTCGTCCCTTCACCTTCTAGTGTGTGGTCTGGTCAACAACGATTACTTGTATCCACTTCACCTATGCCTTTGAAAATGTTGACAGTCAAAGAAACTCATCTTTTAGCCTCAGCCCATTTAAAACTGTAAATTAAACTTTGGAGAGTTAAGTTCTCAACTTCTTTGGCAAGAACATAAGAATTGTTTGATGAAGATTAAGCCACCCAAGAGGTGGCACGGGCATGATTAGCCTGTAAAACATAAGAAATATAAAGATTTATGCTACCTTACCTTACCTTGCGGTTACCTTGAGGTTATTCCGGGGCTGAAGGTCCCCGCGGCCCGGTCTGTGACCATCCGCGCCTCCTGGTTGATGGAGCGGTCAAGCAGGAGCCCGGGGTGCTGTTGCAGAATGACTCTGGGGTCTTTTTAATGATTAAAACGACATGTATCTATAATTGTATAATAAGCTTAGGACGTGTTATTTTAGAATGACCCTCGAGTGGTTTACTGTATAATGAACCTGTCGTGATTTAATGTAGAATAACCCTGCATTTTTTTGCATAATAAGTCCAGTTTTTTTAATAATCGTAATTGTTGCACTGTAGAGTGATTTTGAGAGTTTGATTGTAGTTTCTTCTAATATTTTATGGTGGGATGTTTATTGTATTAACATCCGGGGTATTATATTGCTGCGGTGTTTACACTTTTGGTGACTTGTCCAGCCACCAGAGGGAAGGGTGGGGGGAGGATCTTCGCCAGGACTGCCTTCTAGGAAGTAGAGTCAGTATGCTCCAGGTATTCGGGCAGATGAATCGACGACTGACAAAAAACGGCGGGGAGAGGGTGAAGGGTCGCGCCCGGATGACTTGTCAACATGTTTTCCGGGCGTGTGAGTCGCATATCTCAGTGTCAGGTGGCCTGGACGCTGATGGCGGGACGGGGGCCCCTTCCAGGCCCCTTCCAGGCCCTGCCCGCCACCCCGCTGGTAAAGGGATATTGCTCAATAACGCGCTCATAAACTTTTACACCTGATCACATCTGACCTGATCAAGGCTCTCTTTTCGCGGAAACGTGTGTGTGTGTCCGGTAACTTTTGTTATGAACGTTTTTGAAGGCATTAAGCCCGTAGTTACCGTTCAGTAATGAAACAAATGATAGTTCTGAATGTGTTCTGACCTCTCGGTGCTTACCTGCTAGTGTCAGCGAGAAGTGAGATCTAACTCTTGGTCTCCTAGAAATGTGTACCTGTTGTTGTTGTTTTTAGATTCAGCTACTGGGAACCAAAAGTTGCAAGTAGCACGGGCTACGGTGAGCCCGTAGGGGACTTACCTGGCACATGAGCGGGGCTGTGACTGTTGTACCTGGCGTGTTTGTGTGTGCTTATATATATTTGCCAGAAAGATCGAACTTCTGCTCTTGGGCTCCATATTTCCAGGCTCGCCTAGGTGTAGTGTTCCCAATACTTCCTTATTGAGGTTCCTGAAGGCTCTTCTGATGTTTTCCAGTTTTGAGGACTTTGCTTACATTGTGTATGCCTCCAGTGAGGTTTGGTGTCTTGTCTACTCTTTGTGTGTGTGTGTACTCACCTATTTGTACTCACCTATTTGTTGTAGGATCGAGTATTGGCTCTTAGGTCCCGCCTTTCCAGCCATCGGTTGTTTACAGCAATGACTCCTGTCCCATTTCCCTATCATGTGTATGTGTGTATGTGTATATGTGTGTATATGTATATGTGTCCGTCTTCCTATATGTTCTGTCTGCATGTCTGCGCTATCTGCCTTGTCTGTGTGTGTGTGCGTCCGTCTGTGAGTCTCGGGGTCTTGGAGAAGCCGTGAACGTCCCACCAGTACTGACCTTGAGAGAGGACGTCTTCTCTGGAGACCAAGTCACTAAAACAAACCAAATCATCAATGAACCTGTACCTGCCATCTGCAAGAACGGCTGCGCGCTCTATATAATTAAACATTTTATCAATACAATGACCAAACACGAAGTTCCCCGGGAGCGTTTGCCGAGATCAAACACGGGATGGCTTTTGTGTTTACCCTGTGCACTGCTGGTGCTGTTTGTTAGTCTTTTGTTAGTGCGCTCTCAACCTTTTGACAACTCTCTCACTTATTGAAATGTTGACGTTTACGGTAATTACCGGTATTAATTTTTAGTCATATATAGATGTTCGTATCGGCGTTCAGGTGTGTCACTGTGTGTGTTAGTGGATGGCTTGGTCAGTGTCGGTGTGGGTGGGTGAGTGCGGCGGTGGGTAGGTTATCTTCTTGAGATGATTTCGGGGCTTTTTGGTGTCGCCGCGGCCCGGTTCTCGACCAGGCCTCCACCCCCAGGAAGCAGCCCGTGACAGCTGACTAACACCCAGGTACCTATTTTACTGCTAGGTAACAGTGGGCATAGGGTGAAAGTAACTCTGCCCATTGTTTCTCGCCGGCGCCTGGGATCGAACCCGGGACCACAGGATCACAAGTCCAGTGTGCTGTCCGCTCGGCGGACCGATTCACCTAGTTGTGCTTGCAGGGGTTCAGCTCTGCTTTTTCGGCC